TCCCTTTGCGTGCAGAAGGAGATTGAGGGAGGCTGACTCAGCTCGGAGGACGTGACTGTAGGGGCTTCAGCAAATCTTGAGCAACCTGTTCTCTGCCTGGTTGTTGGGTGGACATGGCCATGGTGGTGTGGCCTAGTTGGCCTCCTGCACCACAGTGGAGGGGGCCATTTTTGCCCTCCCCATGCTCCGGAGGTTTCCCTCGAGCCTCCGGGAGGGCGAAAATGGGCTCCACAGGCTCCGGAGCCTCCGGGAGACCCATTTTTTGCTGAGCCTCTGCACTTCCATGGGATCCAAAACGGGCCACCTGGGGACTCCTGGGAGGGAGGGGAGGGAGGGGAGGGAGGGATGGGGCCAGCCAGTCGTTGCAATTACTGGTTCAGCGAACCAGATGTAAAATGAACATCCGGTTCAGCTGAACCAGTGCAAACTGGGAGCAGTTCACCACTGTGTAGTTTCCCCACCCCACCCCCGCCAGTTGCCAGTCACTTTGGCTTGGCTTGTAAGGATTTGTAAGTATTGTCAGTATAAGAATCACTTGGAGACCCGCAGAAGAGAAGAGAAAGAACTGGGAGAAACTACAAAATACAAAGACCTTTGAGTAGAACGACTGGGGCAAATACTAATACTACTACTATTGATATTAGTAGTAACATGTGCATGCAATTGGGTGCAATCCCCAAACATCAGGAGCGCCACTGGAATGCCATGGACATTGACAAAAGCACCATCAGTCAATTGCAAAAGGCAGCGTTGCTCAGTCGAGGTTACATCCTCCAACAATACTTTTAATGTCATCCAGGAATACTTGCCTATCCCAGGACCTTTGGAAGGATAATTGGATAAAAGGCCAACTCCGGTCTAAACATTTGGCTGACTGTGCAACCGACCATAACTTATTAAATGTGTATGTTGCCCGACACACAGTGACTCCCATACCCATCAGGGTGTCATGTTTATGTAATTACCGGGTCTTGGCAGAGACGTTAATCATAGTATATAGAATAACAAAATTGGAAGGGATCTTAGAGGTCATCTAGTACAGCCCCCTTCTCAAGCGGGAGAACCTATACTATTTCAGACAAGTGACTGTCCAGTCTCTTCTTAAAAACCTCCAGTGATGGAGTGCCCATGATTTCTGGTGGCAAGCAGTTCCACTGGATGATTGTCCTCACTGTTAGATAGATGATGGATGGATGGATGGATGGATAGATAGATAGATGATAGATGGATGGATAGATAGATGGATGGATGGATGGATGGATGGATAGATGACAGATGGATGGATGGATGGATGGATAGATAGAAGATGGATGGATGGATGGATGGATGGATGGATAGATAGATAGACAGATAGATGATAGATGGATAGATGGATAGATGGATGGATGGATAGATAGATGATAGATGGATGGATGGATGGATGGATGGATAGATAGATAGATAGATGATAGATGGATGGATGGATGGATAGATAGATAGATGATAGATGGATGGATGGATGGATGATGGATGGATAGATAGATGATAGATGGATGGATGGATGGATAGATAGATAGAGAGACAGATAGATGATAGATGGATGGATAGATAGATGATTGATGGATGGATAGATGATTGATGGATGGATAGATAGATGATAGATAGAAAGATGATAGATGGATGGAAGGATGGATGCATGGATAGATAGATGGATGGATGGATAGATAGATAGATGATAGATGGATGGATGTATAGATAGATAGATGATGGATGGATGGATAGATAGATAGACAGACAGACAGACATAGTCGGATAGATGGATGGATAGATGGATGGATGGATAGGTAGATAGATAGGTAGATAAATAGACAGACAGATAGACACACAGTTGATGGATGGATAGATGGATAGATAGACGGATGGACGGACAGACAGACAGACAGACAGACAGATAGTTCTGCAGAATCCCAGGGCTTCATGGGAATTGGATGAAATTCCCCGACTGGGGAAAAGTTTGCTCCTTCACAGCTGGGCCATCCTAGGAACCAAGTCCAGATGCAGTACAAGAGAAGGGCTTGTCAAGCTCATGACAGCTCATCATCCTGACAGGGCCTGAGAGGCAGCAGCAAGGCTTCTGAGGGCATTTTTGGGTCCTGCGGCCTGAAAAAGTTTAAAAACCCCTCACCTGATGCCACACAGGAGCTTAGAGTGCAAGACGACAACTGTCCGAGCGATGGACAGCTCTGGAGTTGCAGAAGCCAGATGAAGAGCCAAAGCCATTACCCTCCGATGCACGCGATCTTGACCCCCAAATCATGCCAGCGCCAGTGTTTTGTTCAAGGGGGTTGCAGGTTACGCTCCCTTTCGCCTGCTCCTGGGTGAACATTTTTCTGACAAGGGGTGCCTCAACTCCAGACCTCTGTTGGGAGGGGCCAGGCTGAGTACCAAAGAAGCTGGACCTTTCACAGACATTGCAGTCAACCTCCGTACCTGGTGAAATTTTGGCCCCCGATATGAGGGCCAAGGAATAAATCTGTCCCAAATGATTCTAAGCACCTGCTAGTCTCACCCTTTTTAGCGCCAGGCATGACCTGAAGGTAATGGCTTATTGATACTCAACTCATAATTTATTATTTTAATTCTCTCTCTCTCTCTTTTTGCCTTCCAAGGGCAATTCTGGTGGGGACGGACCTCCAGGGCCTCCAGGTGAAAGGGTAAGGTCAAGCCAGCCGTAACTGGCACAACAGCTGTGCCACAATTTATGCTTCCGATAGACAGATGGGGCTGGGCTTCTTGATTGGCATCAATCCTGCCAAGGCAGAAGAATTAATCTGGCTAGATCCTCCGTGCAGGATGAGCAACGCTAACCCTCATGTCTCTTCCTTCCTAAGGGACCTTCAGGGCCTCAAGGACCAACAGGATTTCCTGGACCCAAAGGCCCCCCGGTAAGTTCAGCCAAGAGCCGGCCCAGGAGATAGACTTACGTCTGCCTACCCAGGTCTAAAACTGACCGTGAGAAAACTCGGTGCAGAATTTGGTCTGCTGCATGTGAGGACATCATTACGCTGAATACTTTCGGTTTTATTTATTTATTTGTTTCCTTGTTTGTCAAACATTCACAAGATAACAAGTGTAGGTATGAACGTGAACAGGAACGAAGGAAGTAAGTACAGATAAATGGGGACAGTAGGACAGAGACGGTAGGCACGCTGGTGCGCTTATGGACTCCCCCTTTTAGGAATGGGGTGAGGAGGTCCATGGTAGACAGTTTGAGGTTGAAGTGGTGAGGGGTTGAGGCTGTAACCACGGAGTTGGGTAGAGCATTCCAAGCGTTGATCGCTTTGTTCGGATTTGGCTGAAGTCGCATTTTCTGCAATCGAGTTTGGAGCAGTTTACCTTGAGTTTGTAATCGGTTGTTTGCCTGTGTACTGTTGTGGTTGAAGCTGAAGAAATCATTGTCAGGCAAGACGTCGTAGCAGACAATTTTGTGTACTACGCTTAGATCGGACTGCAGGTGGTGCGGTTCCAGATTGTCCAGGCCCACAAATTCAAGCCTGGAGGCATAGGGAATACTATTGTGAGTAAAGGAGTGGAGTTATCTTCTCGAGAAATACCTCTGAAATACCTGTTCAATCATGTTAATGTCCGATGTACAGTGTGGGTTCCAGGCGGACGAGCTGTATTCGTGAATTGGTCTGGCAAAGGTTTTGTATGCCGTAGTTAGCAATTCAACGTTAACCGGAGAAGAAGCTTCACCAAATAAGGTTAACAACTCCTAATGCCTCTTTGGCAATGTTTTTTGAACATTGTTTGAAACCAAGTTTCAATGAAGATCCTGTTTCCTTCTCTAGGGTCCACCAGGAAAAGACGGATTGCCAGGCCATCCTGGGCAGAGAGGTGAAACGGTTAGTCCTTCGATGTTTTCATCATTTCAGTTTATCTACGAAGAGCATTCTCTCTCTCCCCCACCACTCTCTCTCTTGCCTAACCTCCAAATTATGAACAATCTAGAGAGAAAAAGTAATAGATGCAGAAATTTCTTCCCAAGCAATATTTTAGCTCCATATTCATTTAATATGTTCCTTGTCCCCAGAAACATTCAGAAAAGTGCAGATTTCAGAGGGTAGCATGCTCCAAATTGTGCATTGATTCAGGAGGTGCTAAATTCATACTGAAATGCGACCCCCCCAAGGTCCCAGGGCCCTGGTCAGATTATTCCAAGGGACTCATCTTTAGAAAAGAGAAAGCCGCTCTCTCACCCTCCAACACTAAGGCGTTTTTTAAAAGTTTCCAGAAATCGTTAAGAGTTGCGGAACCAGCACAAGAACGTTGCCGGATCCTGGAGGCTTCCTATATCCCCAAATATCCCAGCCCCCTTCTCCAAGTGTCTGATGTAGCTCACCCAGCGTCTTGGAGAGAAAGGCCCAGACCATTCAGTGGACTATTGAACCTCTTGGCTTCCCCGCACCCAGAGCAGGCAGAGCGCATCACTTCAACCTGTGTGGGAGGAGGCTCCTATTGTTAGGCTCCCAAGTAATAAATCCATAGCAAGCAAGACTCCGAAGCATGTAGATTCCTCAAAGAATACTTTTTTAATTTGGAATTATCATATTGGCACGTATCTGGTGAAAACCGACTCTGAAGTCTCCAGCAGTTTTCACCAAATTAAAAACAAAAGTTTTCCCACTTTCTCAAAAACAGTCAAGTCCCATGGTCCAATCACAGAATGGGCTGGCAGCCGGGTGACATCACTCCGCCTTCTTCTGACCAGGTGTGAGAATGACCTTGGTTCCCAAGAGAAAGTATATTGCTTTGGCTATAGGTTCCCCCCACCATCTCAGTTCCCCCCTCCCTATCCCTCAGCTTCAGTGTGGCAAATGGCTTGAGTCAGGTCAGTTTCAGGGTTGACACCTATCTTAAGGGCTTCCTTATTCTCCTGGGATTCACAGCACAGGGGACGGCACAGAAGTGTCAACTCATAAAATATTTCTATGGTCCTTTTAGAGTTGCCAACGGAAAGGGAGGAGGGAGCCGTGCGGCAGCTTGGAGGGCGAAAATAAATTCCATAAATACTTTTCCAAAGATAGCAACTAGGTGTCTGAAGTTTCTGCCGTGCAAAATTCTAACTGGAGAGCCTGACTCTGGGCTATGGAGGTGTCCCATTGGAGAATATGAACGACGATACACCTAGGGGATGGAGGGGAAAACCAGGGTCAAGGGTGACAGTGAATGATGTGTCTCTGAGTCAGCTACACCCATCCAGTGCCGGACCTTTTAACTCCCAATAAATCCTTTTGAAGTTTTGGAAGTTTGGCTTGAGACTCATGATTTAAATGGGGGTCACTGCCGGAATCCTGACAGCCAGCTTGCCTGGACTATGGCATCCAGGAACCTTCAGGAAGGAAGACTAGGTCAAATTGGGTGGAAAAGCACTTGAGGTTATTTTACCCTTAAACCCCTTAGACCCCTGTAGGCTCTGCTTCCTCATTATGTCCCCTTCCAAATATTGGATTAGTTGGATTTTTGCATATTGGAGCGGGGAGAGGGTTTGCTCCAAGAGACTATAAGCCAGGGGTCTTCCAACTTGACAGCTTGAAGACTTGTGGACTTCAACTCCCAGAATTCCTCCTCCAGTCATGTTAGCTCAGGAACTCTGGGAGTTGAAGTCCACCAGTCTTAAACTTGCCAAGCCATTTCTATAAGCCATTTCTCCTTGAAGCTGTAGAAAGCCCAGCAAAACCATTTTCAAAAAAAATCCGGTGGAATTGGTTGCCTTTAGGGGACCAGGGGTGTCCATCGCCTCTCTCCAGAATGTCAGCTGCAACCTCTCACTCCTCCAGGACAGGATTAGTGGGCCAGAGGTTGTCCAGGTAGATGGGCAGCTACACACGTAATAAACAAGGTCCCTGTTCTCTCCAGACAACCTTCACCCCTTCTAAGGACTGCCTTCCTTTGCTTTCAACATTTCCGCTTTAAGCCTTTGGTAACCTCTTGGCTGGCTTTTGAATGTCCAGATTCTATCTCTATCCTGGTTTCGTTTCCTTCCTTCCTTCCTTCCTTCCTTCCTTCCTTCCTTCCTTCCTTCCTTCCTTCCTTCCTTCCTTCCTTCCTTCCTTCCTTCCTTCCTTCCTTCCTCTTGGCAATATTCGCTCATCCAAAGGTGGTAAGTGAGCTTATGAAAAGAGATCCTGTCCTTATTTGTTTCTATACATGGTCTGCTGCTGTTTTGCCCTTTAATTGATCCTTTCTTCTTTTTCCAGGGCTTCCAAGGGAAGACAGGTCCACCTGGACCCCCAGGTGTTGTTGGTCCACAGGTGAGCCATTCCCCAGATTCTCTGGCCCAAATTCCTTCCCCCCCCCCCCCCCTTTCCCCTGTTGTCTCTCCAATTACTTTCTAATTTCCAGAAACTCTGCCAGGTTAATGACAGTTTAAATTCTGTATCGCAGGGTAAATAACATGTTTATGTCTGCTTTCTGTGTTATAAAAGTCTACCAATTGCTAATTATGTTGGGAAATGCTAAAACATAATTAGTGTGCATTACCAAGGTTTTCTAAGTGAGAAGCTTCACGCTCTGGCTTACGGTTCAGCATGCACAATCTGAGGCTTCTAGGGTGGCCACCGCAGACTTGAGGTCAGTGGAAGAAAGGAAAGTGGGAGGTGTGTCCACTTACTCTCTCATTTCTGGTGTTATGATGCTGTAAGGAAGCTTACAGGATTTTGAGCAACAGTACAGAACAGTAGAAACTCAATAAAAGCCACCGTACTAAAAAAAAAAGGAACATTAAAAAGGACCATTGTTCTTTCATACAGGGATCCCTGACCCCTGGGCCACAGCCCATTACCAGGCCATTTGAAACTGGCCTGCATGACTGGTAGGCTGGCACGCATAGACGCGCGTGTCCAGCTCAACTGCACGTGTCCAGCTGGGTCGCCAAGGTGCAAAGGTTGGGGATTGCTGATCTAATAGATGGTGCATGATAGATTACAAACCAACATTAGGTAGACCGAATTGGTAGATCAACCAGGGAAGTCAAGACAAAGTTGACACAGTCAAGAGGAAGGTGCTGTCCGGATCCCTGACTCCTGGTTGGGCAGGATTTTCAGCTGTGTACAGGGAGGTTCGGAGAAGCAACAGGAGAAGATTTGCTTTCATTACTCATTAAATTAGCTGCTTGCACTTGGGGCGGCCACTTTGGATGGTCTTAAGCAAGGTCTGGAGAGGCTGTGGAAGCCCTGGGCGCTTTGGGGCTGTGTAACTACCTCCCCAGTCACCAGCAGACCAGTGACAACACTGGTAGGTGGGAAGCAACAGGGGAGAGGTCTCCTAGTATCCAGTACAGCTTGCAAACTTTCCCCGGTGCTTTCAGCTGGCCGTTACTGAACAATGGGTAATGGCAAGGTGAGCCACAGGCCCACCTTGCAGGAAAATACTTCTTCTGGGCCGAGGCCTACAACTGGGCCTTGGCTCCAAAGAGGAAGGCACAGCATAGCCCTTGCAAGAACATAGGCAGGGTTGGGAGATCCACTTGGCAGAGCCTCACCACTGGGCAGAGAGCGCAAGGAGGTCTGTTCACACAACCTGCTAAGCCAAGCTCAAAACAGGTTGGGGCTCAGTGTATTGTCAGTCCTGAGTTATTTAATCTTTGGTTGGGGCTGTGAACCAGACTTCCACGTTGATGGAGAAGGTGGCTTATTTTAGATATCCCATAACATGCACTGTGAACTCACTTTTCTTACTCTGTGGATTAGGCAATTGAGTATCTATTGAGCTTCTCCGTCCTCCAGGTCATGGATGTCCCAAAGGTGCCTTTTTTTTCAGGAGGCAACTGGACTTCCTGGTTTTTTCTTTTGAAGACATTTCGCTTCTCATTCAAGAAGCTTCTTCAGCTCTGACTTTCCCTCCCCCACCACCCACTCAGAGCTGAAGAAGCTTCTTGGATGAGAAGCGAGATGTCTTCAAAGAAAAACCAGGGAGTCCAGTTTCCTCTTGAGAAAAGCACTTTTGGGACAGGCAATTGAGCAGACAAGACGATTCAAGGTGTGGAAAGGTGCTAGTCTCTTACTGAGAGAATTGTGCTTGATTGCGGGGAGAACAAACTGGCTGTTTTGCGCATCAATCTGAGGTGGACGGTGTGACTTGCCTCTGTCCGATTACAGGTTTGTGCGTCCCTCCTGGGCTTTCCCGCCTGCTTGCCACCAACTCCCACCCCCTGAAATGCCCCCAGATTCCCGCTTTTGGTGGAATTAGGTATCCGGATGCCCATCCTGAAGGCGTCTCTCCGTTTCTTGCAGGGCCCTACAGGAGAAACAGGCCCAATGGGTGAACGTGGCCATCCGGGGCCTCCTGGCCCCCCTGGGGAACAGGGACTCCCCGGCTTGGCTGGAAAAGAAGGAACAAAGGTATGAGCTCCATCAGACCCAGAAGGCATCCAGGGTGGAAGAAGGACTTCGGTTTAGAAAGTTAAAAGTTATACGTCCGGAAGGATTTAAGAGCCAAGTGTGGGTGAGGCTTGCTCTTTCGTGGGGAGGAAAGCGAAGAACAAGGATTCCTGAATATCGGTTGGTTTGCTCTTAAGGGTGGGGCGGTGGCCTCACCGTCAGGAGGCTTTCGATCCTAGGTAGAGGCAGGTATTTCTCTCTGGGCACAATGAAAAATATATATCTGCCGAATAAAACTCTGCAATGGCAACAGGAAGGGCATCTGGCCAGTAAACACTCAGCTCCATTCGGTTGCCCAGACTCCACCCCTCAAGGGATTATGGGGTCATTAAAATAAGATGATGGTGGTGGGTTTGTTCTTCAGAGAAACTTTTATGTGCCAGGGAGGCTGTGGATCTCCGTTGCTGGCTGACTTCATGCAGAGCCTAGGCGGCCTCTCCAGGGGGCTCCGCCGGAGTTCCTGTGCTGGGCGCAGGGGTGGGTGGCCTGACCGTGAGGGCCATTCCCCTCCCCCGCAGGATCCTAAGCAAAGCTCTCAGCTCCTCTGTGTCCATCTGGAGACAGGATGCCGGTGGTATCACAGCTATCCTGCCTCAAGCCTTTTCATGCACATCTTTGCAGGGGAAACGCTCCGTGACCTTAGGGGCAGGTGCTAGGATGGCCTCCTGAGCTGGTGCAGAGTCCCTTCTTCCCAAAGACAGATTCCCTTTGTGGGTTAGATCTGTTTTCAGATCTACTCTCATCGCAGGCACGATTACCGGAAGAACTGGAAGGTGGTGTCAACTCATAAAACCGCCCTCTGCCTGTTTTAGTAGTTGCCGTTAAAACAGTGGGGGGAGAGGAGGAAGGAAATCTGGGGGAGCAGTTGAAAGCGACAGGACATTCCAACTCTTCTCTTTAAAAGATTGTAGCTAAACTACCAGAGCTTTTGCCTGCAAATATATTTAATTGGAGAACGGGAGCGATGACACCCAGACCATGAACGTGCTCAGTTGGAGAATCTGATTTATGACACACCCAGGGGGGAAACAGGATCACGGGGGACTGTAAATGACGCAGGCCAGAGTTGGCTTCCTACAGGGCAGGGCCAGTATGTCGCCTCTAATGGATCCTTTGAAGCTTTTTGAAGTTTGGCTCGAGAATCATGACTCAGTTAGGGCGATTGCTGGAATCCTGACAGGTGGTTTCTTCCTGGCATTGCCTCTTCCAACATCAAAGCTTGCAAAACATCCTCATGGCAGATTCGGAGGGGGAATCCATCCCTTCAGATACCGGTCGGAATTCAAAACACGCAGCCTCCTCGTCCTCCTCCTCCTGGGTTGGCCCTGGGGGGACGAGGGAGGGCTTGGTTTCCCGCCGGTCTGACCCGTGGTCCTGCTTGCAGGGTGACCCAGGCCCCGCCGGTTTGCCCGGGAAAGACGGCCCAGCAGGCTTCAGAGGCTTCCCCGGAGACCGAGGACTCCCCGGCCCAATTGTGAGTTGAGATCTTTGCTCCCCCCCTCCCCCAACGACCACCGTCGTCTTTGAGACACCTTTGCCAACGAATGGCGCCACCTTCCTTCCCATGCAGGGACCGGTCGGGCTGAAGGGCAACGAAGGGCCGCCGGGGCCTCCTGGACCAGCGGTAAGTCCCCCCTTTGTCTGGCTGAGCAGAGAGGTCAGGGGGGCTTTGGGCTCTTCCCAGGTGGCCGGCCGGGC